CCGCTCCCAAGAAGAAGTGAAGGAACAGGCGCTGACTTCCAGACCTTGGAGAACAAAGGCTCTTTTAAGAGCCACCCACTGATCTCAGAGACAGAGCATTGTCTTCTTTAAATTATATTTCACCTAAGCAAGCTTTTCCTGCTCCAAAGATGTATCTTAGTCAGTTTGACACATAAATATGACACGACAGTTATTTGTTCCCATTAAAGCTGTAGTATGTACACATTAGCCTGCCTTTAAACGGAAAGGGCTGTGTTTATGTTGCATGCATATACGAAGTTACTAGATATTTATCATAAACTTAGTTACACGTGTGACTTCGCATGAGTGCCATAATATTATGAGATGTAAGATACAATGATCCTGGGATCTCATATTTCCCCCAGCAACTTTTCAGTACCATAAATTTTGCATTTTTAATAACGAGTCCAAAACGTAGAGCTCCAAGTGCATGAAGCAGTAACATTGTATATAAAGGGGCATCATTTAGATGGGTTGTAAATTACAGAACAGTACTGTTTATTTAGCAATTGGTGATAAATAGATACATGAATAACATAAAATGTGTATCTAGTACAGTCTAGCAGACAGTTGAGAGAGACAGCAAGTATTATTCGCACATTGGCGGGAATCTTGAAGGGATTATTGTATTACATAAAGCTGAACTTTTACCACACCAATGATCAGCGCTCGACAGGTTCACGCCTTCATTTTCATTGGACAACTTCACTTGGACGAGTGCAGCCAATGAAGTCGTGGTATGTCGTATAAGTAGAGAGGTTCGGAAAATGCGTTGTGTGTTTTATTGCATTTTTGTCATTGTATTGAAAGAACATGAGCGGCAGAGGCAAAACCGGTGGCAAAGCTCGGGCTAAGGCCAAGACTCGCTCTTCCAGGGCTGGCTTGCAGTTCCCTGTTGGCCGTGTCCACAGGTTGCTCCGCAAAGGTAACTACGCTGAGCGAGTTGGTGCTGGAGCTCCAGTCTATTTGGCTGCTGTGCTCGAGTATCTCACTGCTGAAATCCTGGAGTTGGCTGGCAACGCTGCCCGCGACAACAAGAAGACGCGCATCATTCCTCGTCACCTGCAGCTTGCTGTTCGTAACGACGAAGAGCTGAATAAACTGCTGGGCGGCGTGACTATTGCTCAGGGCGGTGTGCTGCCTAACATCCAGGCTGTGCTGCTGCCCAAGAAGACTGAGAAGCCGGCTAAGGCCAAGTAAACTGGTCGAATTATATTAACCACCAACGGCTCTTTTAAGAGCCACCCACTTTGTCTAGAAGCGGTAAAACCTCTAGTCAATATTTATATTGCGGTACAACTTAAACGAATTCACAATAGCCGTCATTACTTTCTCTCCTTTCAACTAGCTTTTGTAGTACTGATGGTGTTTCACCTTTTATAAGCTTTTAAAGCGGGTCGCGCAATAGAGTATTACGTATTCGCCCAATTAGTGAGTATCGAAATATTTGCATGACTTATTTTGCTCCCTGTGTACATTACGGAGTACTTTTTCTTTCAGAAAACTGGCTCCTTTCAACCCTTTGAGGACTAGGGGTTGGGGAATCTGGCAAAGTGTAGCCCTTGCAAAATGCTGTTTGGAACACTTGCAGAAGCATAAGTGCATAGTAAGCGATGGTGCTAGTTTGGTGATCAGATATCTGGAATCAAAAACAGTCTTGGGTACATAAAGATGACTAAATGGTGTAGCTGCAACATTCAGTTGGATAAATAAGAGGATTGTTCTACCTCCTGCTATCCGCTCTACACAGCATACAAGTCCTGCGACCGTACGATGCCACTTCGCTGACGTCTGGGTTTACCGGGTTCACTGGCACATGTTCAGAGTGACTTAGTTCCGAACACTGCATTGTGCAGCCACACAGCTGCACAAAAGGCTCCTCCATGAAGTCCTTTTGCGACATTGGCTTCTGTTGCACTGATGCCGACAGCTCTTTGTGTAAGATGTAGACATTAGTAGCAGCGGTGTCTAGGAAATGTAAACAGTTTTCTGTACCATTTCATAGTTGTATAGTGTGCCGAGTAATATTGAATGAGTTGATCTGAGAGGTCAACACCACTCATATGACCAATGAATTGGAGAAGGACAAGGAAAAGTCTTTGTTGTTCAGGCGCCATCTTTAGATTAGATTTTATTAATCCCGCAATGGGGAAATTCTTTGAGAAACAGCAGCAATAATGAGAAAAGACAGTACAAAAAAGGACAGGATCCATAGGATCAGCAAAAAAATAACAATACAGATAATAAAAACAATAGAAAACAATTTCTAAAACTGTAAAAATATATAAGTAAAAATGTAAGAAAAAAAGAAACATATACACAATGCTAGGTATATGGATAGCAGCTGCTGAAATATATATATATATATACATATATATACACACACACATATACATATATATATATATATACACACACACATATGTACATCATTTTGACGTTCTTTGGATATCACTATTAAATTTCCGACAGTTGACGTTTTGAAAATAAGACAAGAAGATTACTGATTTTGTTAGCGCTTTTTCATGATTCTACAAAAAGATTTTAGCGAGTTAAAAGCTGAAGTAAACGAGAAAGATACGCTGCACAGACGATGATGCGTTCGTCCCCAGGGGTGCCCCCTAGAAAATGACGGAGAGGCGCATATTCAATTTTTGCGCCCAAGGATACTGTCCAATAAGAACACGGATGATGACACAACGTACCAATGAAGGCGCAGAACATTTGTGACCAATCAAAACAGGCTAGGGATGCTTTATAAGTTTGCGTTACAGCTAGCTAATATATTACTTACTTATTTAACGAGAAGTAGTAAAAATGGCAAGAACCAAGCAGACCGCGCGTAAATCCACCGGCGGTAAAGCGCCCAGGAAGCAGCTGGCTACCAAGGCGGCACGTAAAAGTGCTCCGGCCACAGGCGGTGTCAAGAAGCCTCATCGTTACAGGCCCGGAACCGTGGCTCTGCGAGAGATCCGGCGTTACCAGAAGTCCACCGAGCTGCTGATCCGCAAGCTGCCCTTCCAGCGTCTGGTGAGGGAAATCGCTCAGGATTTCAAGACCGACCTGCGCTTCCAGAGTTCGGCTGTTATGGCGCTGCAGGAGGCAAGCGAGGCCTATCTGGTTGGTCTATTTGAGGACACCAACCTGTGCGCCATTCATCCCAAGCGAGTCACCATCATGCCTAAAGATATTCAGCTG